GGACCTGGAGAGTCAATTGAAGGGAATTAAAAACACAGGAGCAAGAAAAGTGATAGAAGGGCCAGAAGGACTCATTTGCAGAGGATGCATTAATTAAACTTTGCATAGCTTGACTAAGTCATGATTTGGAGGTGAAGAATAAAACGAGTCGGCGCATATTTAAATACTACTAAGCCAAGGACAACTGGAATGTGAGCAGTGTTTAAAGCTATGCACATTCAGAGCTCCCCTACATTAACTAAGGAATAAAAGCAATTGGATAAAGTCAGGTTTACACCAAACATGACAATAATGCTCGTGCTGTTGAGGTCCACCAGACCTCAAGTGTCAGATCCTGGATATCCCCATCACCTGATCCAACACTAAAGTTTTTTGTAATGAACAAATCTGCTGTGGCAGCAAGACACTGTGAAGGTTACAGAGCCTATGAACAGCACTGTCCCAGAATAAAGACATGGATGAAAGCATGGTGAGCACCCTGGAGATAGTCAGTCATCCATTTATGCTTTCTGACACAGAATTCATAGACTAACCAACATATCTAAGGCATCACAGCACAGGCAAGTGATAAAAACTGGAGCAGATTCAAACAAATATGTCACAAGAAGTAAAGAGTAGAAAGTGGAAGGAAAAATGTAAATTTTTATTGAAGGGACAGATTTGAGCACAGCCTTTTTAATGGGGGATGCTGTGGTGCCTCACACTAATGCAAATCAACAATTCTATCTCTGCATCAGTGCTGATGCAGAATTAAAAATATGCATTTGTATGCCAGGGGGTCACATGGGCAGCACAGCTCAGACCTGTCCTACCCTGGCAGCACAGCGGGAGCAGAGCAGTGCTCTGGAGAAGCAACAATCTTGCTGACTGCATAAAAGATGAGGCTGGGCAGCCACGAGATCTCATCAAGCTTTGACCTTCACTCGGGCTCCTGCATTGTCTTCTGTTCCATTTAGCAGTACTCTTAAAGAGCAAAGAGACAGACAGCACTTCATAGATCCAATTATACCCTCAGCCAGAAACAAACCAAGGAAGGCAATCTGCAAGTAGCCTACATCAGGGTTCCTATAAAAACCATTGTATTTACTTCAAGGACTGTGCTCTGGCTTTCCTGTCTCATTCACACTTGTTCCTTTGCCTCTTTCTCATCTTTCTTTCCCCATTAGCCAGCAGACATGGATGAATCATATTATTTGTAATAACAACTCTGAGCCAAAACTGGAGAGCGCAGCGAGTCTGAAGGGTGACTTTAGAGATTCCTCTCCATCCTGCGGGAGTTCTGAGGATGTGGACAGTCCCATATTTACCCAATCCCAACTGCAGGGCAATGAGGGAATGTGTCAGGCTGCAGAGTGCCACAGCAGGGAAGGGGATGCAGGGAGACGGAGGCGCTGCCAGGACATGGTGTGTGTGGGAAGGGAAAAGCTGGTTCCTCGCCCACCTATGCGTCACTTGCCTATTGGGAGCCAGCTCCCTCTGCCTCCCTCTTTGTTCAGCCAAATAATATCCATTATTACAATTATGACTTCTCCTATATATGTATTTATAAACAGTGCACATCTGTCTATATGTGAGTAGACACATTTCTTCATCTCCGTTTTGCCACCTTTTGTGCCCTTCCCTTCTCTCTCAGTATTTCCTCCTGGGAATTGTCAAACATCAATGTACACAGCTGAACATAGATGGAGACTAATGTTTCAAGTGCAGATAAGAAAATTTGGGGCAATGGGGAAGAAAAAGAAAGGACAAGCACCAAGAGCTCTTCTTTCTGTATGTGTTGTGCAGTGTCAGCATTTGCAGAATACCCTTCACTCCCCTTGGTGGGAGATAACCAGAACAAATCATGGAATCACAGAATGGTTTGGCTTGGGAGGGACCTTAAAGATCATCTCATTCCAACCCCCTGCCATGGGCAGGGACACCTTCCACTAATCCAGGCTGATCAGAGCTCCATCCAACCTGATCTTGAACACTGCCAGGGATGGGGAACCCACAGCTTTTCTGGGCAGCCTGTGCCAGGGCCTCACCGTCCTCACAAACACATAGGACATGCTGGTCCATGTAGTGGTTCATCCTAAGGAGGAGTGTAACTACTGAAATTCTGCTTTTCACACACTAGTAAATTTAAATACACATCTTTTCTTCCAGTGCCCATGCAGGAGATAAAAAGGCAAATTTCCCAAACTTTACACATCAGCCCTTAAAAAGAAATCCCTCATTGACCACCACCACTGAAGAGACTACTTTAAAAATGCATTGTCAAGGAAATGTTTGCTTAAAGGCAATTATGCTCTTATGAATCAAAATTCCAGATGCTAAAGCAATGCCAATTAACAGTATTAAAAAAACAGATGCCTTGTTCTGAGTGAGTACCACTGCCTGTGCTTGAAAGGAAAAAACCTGCACAGAACATGCTGGAAGCTACTGTCCTATTGAGAAGAGAGCTTTTAAATAGCTGTTCTGAGAGACAAACTTAAAAAGCTGTAAAAGCAACTTATTATGAAAGTCTCAGCATAATTTTCCATCAGGATGGAAGAAGGTTAAGCTGTCCCCTGCCTTAAGCTGCTTTCTGTTAGAAATCCAAGCAGTGAGTAGACAAGGTATGGCACAGAGTCAGGGCCAGGGGAAGAATCACTGAGACAGCACTATGCTGCAGCTGCCTGTAGCCCTCCAATCTGCACTGTAGGTGACAAAGCCTGGAAAAACAAAAAAAGCAAGTTCTCTTACTATTAATCTCCTTTATATGTAGGATAAATCCCTGTCAACTAGGGACAACCTCACAGACACAAATTTGAAGCTACCTTTTGCATCCTTCACTTGCAGCTCTTCTCAGATCAGTGATCCAAGACTGAGATTTTCACGAGGCGCCCAAGTCACCTTTCCTCCTTCTGAGAGCTGGGAAATTCTTATTATCAGTCAAAGGCAGAAACATGATTCCTCCCCATCTTCTCAGCCACCTATTAGGTGTGTGCCAATCTACCAAGTTAACAGTGTGTTTGGTTTCAGCACTTTTGGCTTGAGCTCCTCTGTATTGTTAAGAAAGCTGACTTCTAACTGCAGCTTGCTCTTTCAAACAGCTCACAAGGTGCCATGCTTTAAAACAGGGTGATCCCAGCCCTCACTTAGGAGTAACAGGGTATAAATGGGTTACTCAGAACAAAACCTCCAAAGCCAGAAGCCTTGTCCCCATGAGGAGGACAGGAGGGTGCATTATGCTCCTGGGTGTACAGGTGGCCAGGCAGACAAAGCAGCAGAATCCAGCTCCACGTGGCACAAATAGCTTCTAGCTCTCTGCTGGTTTATGCCCAAGAAAATCAGCCAGGTACTGCTTCCTGAGCCTATCTGCCAGAGTCCTAAAAGCACAACACACCACCAGGGGAAATGAGAAACATTCTGCAGGGTTCTTGTTTTGAAAGGGAGCAGGAGCTAAGAAGTATCAGAGAACTATTAGAGAAGAATTAGAGAACCATTAAAACATTACTTAAGAGACAGGGTAATCATTAAAAGGAATAGTACAAAAATGAGGGGAAAAAAGGAGGCATATAAAATAAACAATACAGATAGTCATCAAACACTTCTGACACACAGCTTTCAGCTGTTAGACAAAGGCCACTACAAAGCATGTATACATCTAAAGACTTAAGCTATTACTTATAGATGAAGGCAAAGAAAACAGAATTTCTTATAAATGAAGACATGGATAGGACTTTTGAAGGTTCTCAGAGTTCCGAAATCTTCCTGGAACTCTGTGAATCATGGACTCAGTATCAAAATCTCTGAACTTGACATAACAGAATATTCTTGTATCAACTTCACATACAACTAGATCAAGGCCCTTTTCCCAGCAAGTACCATCCAGAAAACAGATCTCTGAAGTGACAGAGCATCCTTCATAGAACACAGAACAGCTGAGGCGGGAAAGCACCTCTGGAGATTATCTAGTCCCTTCCAATTTATATTATTCTATGATCCTCTGAAGTGACAGAGGATCCTTCATAGAACACAGAACAGCTCAGGTTGGAAAGCACCTCTGGAGATTATCTAGTCCCTTCCAATTTATATTATTCTATGACTCTGAAAAGGGCCCAAGTAAGGACACCCACTGTAATCACTGCTTCCTTGGTCCCTTTCTGCATTCCAATATATCATGAATTCACAGGTTGCTTTAAACACCATGTATTCTATACATTCTGACCAACCTTAATACTTGAATAATTTAACTAACTCTCATTAAATCTTTTGTTTGTTTTTAAATTTTATTTTTGAAATGACACAATGCAAGATTTATTCTGAAGTAGGCAGATTACTTGCCAAAAGTAAAGGAGAGCATGAAAACGTTCACAATATTCAAGTTAAATATTTTAAAACAAGAACAAATATTGTTGAAAATTACTGGGCACCTCATTTTAACTTGAAGCATTTGTCTTCAGTCTAATAATAGAAATGCCTTTGTGCTCCTGGACACACTGACCAAAGCAAAACCCAGGTTGTAGCTGAACAACTCTCATGCAGACTCACAGCCAACCAATCTCAGAACAAACCCCAAAGAGCTTGAGAGGAATTAACACACCTGCAGAAATTTCATCAGCTTCTGAATAAACTATAAAACCATTTCAATTTTCTATGTACTTCATTGGCAAGAGGGAAAAATAACGTGCTATCACCAACCTAAAGGAACTTGTTTCCTTGTCAGGATTGAATATGGAATGCAATCCCTGGAGGTGACTTCAAAAGTATTTATATAGGTCGCTGCCTACATTAACACTGATGCTTCTCTATCTGCAACTTTACATCAAGGCAACGAAAAGGAGCAAGTTAGGGATACATCAGGAATCTTACTGATAATATATGACACTTGACAGCAAAACCTCTTGGTCAACTGGAAATATTAATATTCCTCTGCCCCCAGGCTCCCCCAGCCTGGCTGTACACTGGGATAACTGAATCTCCTCCTCCCATCCAATGAGACAAATGCCCCAGTGCAGGGAAGGCACACTTACTGGTACTCTGAAAGGAGAAGTGTTCGGAACATCCATGGAGTTGGTTTTCTCAGAGGTGCTGGTCCCCGAGATGCTCCGTCTGCGAGGAGATCTCTCTGCTGGGACCTCTGAGGAAGAGAAGAACAAGGTGGTGAATGGGTGCCCGGGGGTGGGGAATAGTCAGGCTTTGTGCTCTGCAGGACAGAAGCCTCAGGAAAGTTTTAGTGCATTACTAAACTGCTGAATTAACCCACCTATTTACCTGTATCTTATTCACTTACTAATCTACAATGGCATTCTCACTGGCAGATTCAAGGTTGTGAATCTGACTTGACTGTTGGAGACTAAAATAAAAAGTGCTAGTAAAGATCAATACCTGGACATACTTAATATTCTGCTACTGTTAGAGAGACAGTATTCAGAGAACTTAAATCTATTTTGGTTTAGATTTAATTTTTTTACGTAAGTAGTGCAGTAATTAACAGATAACTACAACCAAGACCCAGGGAAGCTCAGTTCTAGTCCCAGCAGAATGTAATTTGGCAAAGGTCAAAGTTCGGTCATGTATGATCCCACTACTTGCTCAAAGCATGCAACCAGCAGAACACTTGTAAGTGCCTGGGTAATATGACATATAAATCTCTGCAGATAAAAAAAAAATAGGTCAACTTCTCCTCGTTCTGGCAGTATGACCTTACTAAGACACGACTTTGGCATCTTAAATCCATGCAGACTGATCTGATGAGCACGAATATTCATAAAAGCTGCACTAGTCTTTGACTAGTACAAATACTGAAATAATAGCATAATAAAGTACACACAGCATTAAAAATCTCTCCACAAACACACATCTATGCATTTTTATACAGAGCTAGATATGCATATGTATGCATACAGATACCTTTATCACAAGTGCTGCCCATCTCCAGCTCAATTGCCAGACTTTAAGGAATCCAGCTCCACCAAACACCCCCCGACACGGGGAGGGAAAAAATCACTTCCTAGCAGAAAGTCCATTGTTATCTTCTGAACCTTAAAGAACAGCAGCAAGCCGTGACTCCGGGCAGGGACATCCTGACTCCTGCCGTTCTCCTTTCCAGAGGCAGATGCTGCTCCAACTTCCACTGGGGCTCCGAGGCTTCCACTGGAGGGAACGCCGGGTGTCTCCGACCGCCCTCCCTCCTCCCCGGCGGGGAGCGAGCGAGCGGAGCAGCAGCACACAGGACTGCAGCTCCTCAATCAATCGCTCCGGCTGCACATCCTCATTAGTTACTTTCAGGCTATTAACAGACGCCCAACTGCCGGCTTCCCTGCGCTGCCGAAATTTTCCCTGTGCATCCTGATCCACAGCAGCGAGGAACAAGGTTTATGGGGAGAGACAGCCAGCTGGTGCCACGAGAGCGGCGTTGAGGCGAAGGAAAAAAAAGGAGAGAAGCCTTCTTCGGGGATAGCATTACTTGTGATGCCTTTGCATGCTGGATTTTGATTTCAGCAGAGTTATGATCCGTCTCTCCCATGGATGCTTGGAGACTGACAAAATGGAGCAGAGAGGAGGAGAGGCGAAGGAACCCGGACCCTGCAGTATCAGTGTCTCACTCGGTAGATATTTATCTTTTGAACAAAAGCAAACTGCTGACATGGAGCCCCTCAGCCTGCTTGGGGAAAGGGCTGCTAGGAGGGCGAGCAGGCTGAGGGGCCGGGCAGGTGTGGAGGAACGGGCTGTGGGCGCCATGCCCGAGCCCCCCGCGGCCTGCCGCAGCCAGCGGAGCCGCGGCCCAGAGATGCCCCTCTCTGTGGGGAGAGCCCTCCTCCTCCGGAGCTCTGCGACAGCACCGCCTGCCCCGGAGCCGCAGGGTAAGTCCCCATCAGGGCACCTTTAGAGAACAAAGCACTCGGAGCCGGGCCAGTGCCAGCCCAGGGGTCTGAGCCCTCAGTGCCACCCCCTCAGGAGCCTTTGCAGGGCTGCCCGGTTCACCTGACGCCGCACTTCCACAGCACCAGCTGCCGCCCTGGCCCAGATGAAGGGAAACTTTATTTTCTGCAGCACCTGTAAGTACTGCTCTGCCCAGAGATAATTCTTTATAGCCTATCTCTGCCATTCCCATGTCCATGTAACAAAGGCAAACGGGATTGATGTATTCCATTGGAACAGGGCTAGAGTGAGCACCTTTGATCTCACACTCACTAGGAAGGAGTAACGTAATAGGTTTGGCTTCCTCCACTCCTCACGCGCAGGAAATCACATCAAAGCTGCCCCGGTAATTTAAAACAGTCTGTTAACTTTGCTGAGTCATAAATGGAAACACCAGCACTAATTCCCCACTATTCTCCACAACACGTTCTGCAGGAGGGGCAGTTTGGGAAAGAGCTTAACTTTAAACTGAATGGAGTTGAAAAGCTACCACAAGGCATGTGCCTGGTTCCCCTTGCCTTCCCTCTCCTCCCAGCATCCCCCCAGCAGCAAGTCAACTTTTCTGCAAATAAAATGTTGGCATTTCGTCAGTAAAATGAGTTTTTTCCTTTCTCACACCATCACAGAAATGTAACAAATGGGGAAGAGAAAATGAAATATTCACTAGGTGCCTGCAGTGAACTAAAAATAAAAATTACCTTTCCCTCTCTTCTCCTTCTAAAAAACAAGAGCAAATAGACACACTTAGTCCCTAGGAAAAGGAAGACCCAGATACAGCAAAATTGTCGGGATATATTAACTGGAAATCAAAACCTGAAGCAACTTGCTGTGACGCCTGTAGAACAGTATTTTTGCTGAGTCTTGAGAAAGAAATCTATACTGTCACCACCAGGCAAAAAATTAGACAGTTCCCTCCCCTGCTCCACTAGCAATGCTTGAGGCTACTCTTGCATAATCTTCACCTGCTGCAAAAATCAATGCACCTCTCATCAGCTTAGTATTAAATTACAAGTGCTTTCTGCATTGCTCACTCTCAGGGACCAAGGATAGATCACATTGTTTATCCATCAAAACAGTCTAAAAGCATTTTCAGCCTATCTGTTTCTGGGAAGAAAAGAAAAAAAAAAAAAGGCAAAAGGGAAGACAACCCACCTGACAGATCCTCCCCATTTCAACCTTCAACAAAAAATTGTAGAATCTTACAATGGTTTGGGATTGAATGGGTCTTAAAATCATCCAGGCAGGGACACTTTCCACTAGATCATCAAACAAATGAGTTGTAAACATCCCAATGGGTCACTTTTATCACCTGATATCTTGGTGATACAAAGTAATACTTATCTAAATAAGTATTTATCCAAATCAGTATTTACACACTACATAGCAACAGTCAGTTCCTAATTAGCTGAGCTAATTACTCAGCAGTGGCACATGCCTCTGAGGAGGGAACTGCCCAAGGATACAATGCAGGCAGGTCTCTTCTCCCATCCTGCTGAGCCACTCTCCACCCTCAGCAACACCAAAGCTTGTTCTGTAGGCCAGGAGGAAGGTTTGTGTAAACCAGGTGCCACTTACTACACGGAGCAGTGGTGAGGGCTGCCCTCCTTTGAAGGGAACCCTCTCTGCCTCAGTGCCCTCTGGTCACCACAGGGCCCTGGGGCTTCACCTAGATTTCCTATTGCTGGGTGCTGCGGCCACTTGAAAGACTTGCAGTGGTGGAAATTTGTATTTTCACTGTGGAGAGCTTTTTCTCCAGGTGGGAGAAGCAGACACTAAACAAACCTCCCAGCTTTGTGGGACAGCCACACCAGGTAGGAATTATTTGCAGATAGAGAAGGAAGAACAAGAAGAGGAAGAAGTGTCTCAACAGCATTTTTTCTGATGGGTATTACCTAGTGAAATAGGAAGCTTCATATCAAAATAAATAAAAATGTTAAATGTTTTATCTTGCAATAAGCATTCTCTCTCATTTTGCTCACCTGGGGAGAATTCAGACTTGGGCCCAATCCACAGATTGTCATAAAAATTTCACTGAATGCCTGTACAAGAAAGCTAAGGTAAAAGCAAACTCAAACCCCCGAATCTCTTTTAAGTCCTGAAGTCCAAGTTTGTATTCTAACTAAAATACATTATGCAAATCCTGCAAGGTATAACTTAAAGGAAAAAATGGAAATCTGCAGAGATAGATTTTCCACATTTATCAAGGCAACCAGACAGGGAAAATACATCACAAGAAGATACATCAGAGTGAATGCAACCAAGTTTCAGGACATTGAAGTGCACAAAAGCTGCCAAGCCTGGAAAGGGAAATGCAAAGGGAACCCTGCAAAGCTGTAGAACTCCAGCATCAAATAACTGCTAGGTACAAACTATGATCAAAAACTCTCCCAGTCCATTACCAGGGGTTTGTAAAGAAGTTACTGTGCTCTACTAGGGATTGAGTCAATCAGATAAATCTTGGAAGATGATCCAGGTAACTATAAAAGATTTTTAATTTACAGACAGGCAATTCTGTTGGTGTTAGACACTTGCACTGTGCTGCCATATAAAAAAGGTGTAATTGAATTAGTGCCCAGTATGGAAGGCGCATAGAAAGCATCCTAAATGACACAATAAGTTACTTAAAAGATTCTTAAGTAATTGATTCCCAAATTACTTTACAGTCTGAAAGGCAAGACCTAACATGCAAAGCAGAAGAATACTAGAGGAGGCTGGAAGAAAGAGCACAGATATCACAGGAGAGAATAATTTGGGGGTTTCAAGTATAAACTCCCACAATTTATTTTCCCTGAAAGTTTGGAGGAAAATGTGCATGGCATTGAGTGAGTACATCAGTTGTTCTTACACTGATGCATTCGCTTTGAAGTGGGAGAGCAAATCCTCCAGCTCTGCAACCCAAGGCAGAAATGAAGCAGATGCATGTCTCTAAACTCATGCTCAACATATCCTCTGCCTGGCTGTACGAAATTTGGGATAGCTGCTCCTTTTTGACCTGCCCTTGCAACAGCCTCTAAAACCTCCCTTAATGGTTGACTCCACACAGCCAAACACATTGCCTGGACAACAGTGCCAACAAAAGCAGGGACAAGGAGCTGCTGGCCATGACCTGGAGATGCTGATGTCCTCGTTAGTTCCTAATGATCTTGGACTGCCCCCACTAATTCAAATTACCTTGTGTTTGCTGCAGAGACTGCACACAGACAATTAACGCCGATC